TTTTTTTTTTTTTTTTGTCTGTTTCTTTTTGAAAACGGTTTTTTTTTTTTTTTTTTTCTGTTCTTTTAGTTAGGCAATTATTTTTATCGTAATATTATAATATATTATTCAAATTATTATTACTATTATTATTATTATTATTATTATTATTATTATTATTATTATTATTATTGATGATATTTATATAAGTCAAGTAACAAACACCTCGCTATAATTGTGCTGTAATAATTTTAATTTTACATACATATATATATATATATATATATTTATTATTAATTATATTATATTTGATTATTGTGTATTAGCAATCGGATAAATAACGAAAGGGAAAAAAAAAATTTTTACAATATTGTGTATTTAAAATGTACGACCTATTTTAATTCGTTCGCTGCGGACCGGCGCCGCGTTGTGAATACCACGGTGTCGGTATCGTGACGTTTCGAGGCGAAAACGGAAGTGAAAAAAAATAATGGAATTCGTATTAGTACCGCAAGGCAAAGTGTTTCTAGATGTGTAGAAAAAAAACAAACGGACAAAACGAACGGCGCGACGGAGAGTATCGCGGCCCCCCGACCCCATCTAAAAGAACACCGCGCCCGTCCAATTAACTGTCGGCCTCTCGAGGAGAAAACCGACCCTCCCCCCCCCCCCGGTCCCTCGACGAACTACCGATTTGGTTTTTTTCTCTAAAACCGATCGTGTCGCGTTTACGACTTCCCCGCCGCGTTGACGCGCCGCCGCCGCGATCGCCGATACCGTGGACGATCGCCGTACGCGAACCGCGAAAGGTCCGTAACTTCCGACCCGGGGACGACTCTGTTTTGTACACAACTAACACTTTACGAATAATACATTATATTCTATACTAATACTATATAAATGTAATACTAATGATTATTATAATTACGTGTAAATTATTATTATTATTATTTTTTTTTTTTTTTTGTAAAATTCGGGGGGCGTGGACCGAGTGCTCTTTGACTTGTTGGCACCAAAGGGCCCGCGATCCCCGTTGCCCCCCGGCGTCCCTCCTATCTCCCGACCCTCTCCTCGACCCTTCCTCCCCCCCCCTAAAACCTCCCAACTGCTCCTCGTCACCGTGTTAGCGCACCTCCGTGTGTAACCGACCGCGGCCGCCCGCCCGTAGCCGCGAGGACATCGACGTGAAAACCCGTGGAAATTCGCCCGTCCACTCGTTTATACGTTTTACCCCGTTGCGCGTACAATGCGAGGTTCGCGACGGATCCGTTTTAGCGTTTTCAACGCGACAGAAGCGGAGAAAAGTGAAAAGGAAAAAAAACAAAACACAAATAGGAGGATCCGCTCGAAAACACAACCGTATCCCGTTCCTCCCGAACCAGTGCCCTCTTCTTCCCCGCCCATCATTCACTCCCCTCCCTCCCCGGTCATCAACACCCGCCGCCGCCGGGAACCCGAAAACCAGCCGGCGGCCCGGCGCAAAAAAAAGTCTTCGTCGCTGGGAGCGAGACTTGACGGCGCCCCCCCCACCCCTTTCCCCCACCGGGAAACCGCGCGCAAACTGCCGCGCAGCCCTTACCTCCAGTCAGGTGCCCCCACCCCAAACCCTCCCCCCCCACCGGCAGAAGACCCGAGCCGAGCACGATTTACGAGCGACGTTTTTTCAGTTGTCGTCGACCACTCCCTCACACCCCCGCGACAATCGAACACGTCCACTCCCAGCATATTCAAGGTTCCTATATTTAGCTAACACATGTACTAAGGTTCCTGTTTTATTACATATATATACATACATATATATATATATATATATATAAGTATATATATGATAATAATATTATATTAATAATAATGAAAAAAAAAATTAATCATAAAAAATTTAAAAAAAAAAAAAAAAAAAAAAAAAAACAATTACGAACGTAATATTATCATTTTTACTATTAGAGTTACGTAACAATATACGTGTGCATTGTTGGTGTTTTTGTTTCTCTTATTTATTTTTTACATATATAAAAAGAAGGAAAAAAAAAACCATTATTTTTTTTATTATAGTTCGGACTATTTATACACAACCCGCCCCCGCCCCCGTTCCAGCCCCCGTCCCCCCGTCCCGCCGACTTTGTCGTCGTTATTGCGTAAAATAACCGCGACCCCGCGCCCCCCCCCCCGCCACCGAAAAAAAATGTTACGTTGTTTTTTTTTTTTTCTTTTTTTCCAACCACTACGCTACTACTACTTAAATAATGTTTATCATTTATTGTTTATTCTGTGTTTAAGCTTATCGTGTACACCTATGTATTATATGTATTATTTTTTAATAAGGACAGACGCAATACGAGTATATATAAATATTATAATATACCAGCTATATCATTAATGTACCGACCGAGATTTGTGTAAGGTGTTTTTTTTTTATTATAATTTTTTTTTTTTTATGTCTCGTTTAATTATTAATGTCTTGTATTTTACAGATTATTATTATTGTCACGCGATTTTGTATGATTTTTTTTTTGTCCTACCCCCGCCCCCCCAACTTCCCCACCCCATCCCACCCACCGGTGTCTGTGTGTTCGTATACAACGACAATGTCTGTACCGATTTGTGTATCATTCGCCCGTCGCCCGTCCCCAGATAACAACCCGTGCCCCCGTCGAACCCCCGTCCCCGTTATGATATTATATGTTATATACGTAAAAATTATTATATTGTCGAAAACAAAAACCCACTGCGGTATCACACGATGTTTTACACGATTCTTGTATTAAAATTGTAGTCTACAAATTTGGTCTATACGATTGTTTTTGTTTTTTTTTCTTTTTTAATAACTACCTATCCATTTCTTCCGTACAGGTCTTCTGTGCGGGTCCTGTTTTCTTGGGGGTGGGAAATGAATTTTACAGTTGGTCAAACGACTTTTTAAAAATTATATGATAATAGGCTGCAGTCGATTGCGGTGATAAAAACCCGGACTTTCGGCCGGTCCGGGTGAGGTTTTCGCGAGTGACGGACGGCAGCACTGCTCCTGTCCTCGTTTGAGTTCAAGTGACGCGACCGTTGTTTTAAACCGGTCAACGCGTACAAAAATAAGTCGAAAATAACAGAGAGTAAATTTTCTCTCGACGCGCCAACAATGTCCAAAACGTTTCGTAAAAGCAAACAGGGATACGGCGATTTTCATCGGGGTGAGATCACTTGGACGAAAACCTCGTTTTAATAGACGCGCCGTACACAGGTATAGTATAATACCACAACAGATATAAAAAAAAAAAAAACAAATTTTTAAAATATTCCTCGTCCGGAGTCTAAAACGTAAGTATACGTGAAAAATAAATAAATAAAATTAAAATAAATCGTTACGCGGGTACTCGTCGAGTCCGTTTTTCGTAATAAACAGGTACGCACGAGACGAATACGTTTAGCGATTTCGATCGTGTGGAGCAAAAAAAACGGACGGACATGCTCGGCACCGCGGGCGGGCCACTGTTGGAGGTGACAAGCCGGGAAGGTAGGTATATAGAGTATGTTGGAGAATCTATTTGTGTGCGACGATTAATCGTTAACAGTCATTAATCGCTAACGAAAAACGATTCTGAGTGAAACTACGTCAGCAGTATTGCTTTTTCGACAATGTGCGTTTTTGCGACAACGATTGTTTAAAAATGATTAAAAAAAAATAATAATATAATATAATACCTAAAAAAAACTTAATAATAACGAAAAATAAATAAAAACCGTTGTCAATGAGGCGATCGTTGAAATGGCTCCCAATATTATAGGTGAAGTACCTCATCGAACATCGAACCGGTTCCTGAAACAATTTCGAACAAGTGGTTCTCAAAATCAAAGGCGCCACTAAGTTCAACATTTGCGGGGGTGTGGTGTCTATAGCCTCGAACAACTTTATTTGCTTAAATTTGAAAACATTACATTGTATTACATTATTGTAGTCATAAAAACAAATACAAATAACTATTATAAAATATTAATATTTCTAACTAAATTCGTTGTAACTGGTGGGGGGCTATTTGAAAAACTAGAGGGACTTAGCTCTCCCAATCTCCCCCTCTTAGTTGCGCCCGCGTTCAAAATATAAAGTTGTTCTTATAAAAATAAAAGTGGAAAGAGTACGTGACTTTTTAGCATCAGTGCCGAATAGCTGCCGCGAATTATCTAATCTTTAATCCGATAATGGGTTAAACAGTCACAACCACCGTAATTATACAATTCAACTGCTGATTTCACCGACATCGTTAAACGCGATGCTCGCAGTGCGCCGCAATTCTTGCCACTATATAGTAGTAGTTGAGCGTAAAATGAGTAAAAAAGCGGTGCTGTTTGCAGTACAACAAATCCGTGATAATCCTTTCATTCGAAATCGAATTGCCGATTTTATTCCACGCGCCTAAATGTTTAAAATATCATAAATATATCGTATGGTATTCAAGCGGATACTGAAACCGAAATTATGACAAAAAACTCCAATGTAGTAAGACCGCGCAAACAATTTAATGACGGTCAAATTCGGAAACACGACAACAATGTATATAAAAAATATATAGTGTCCCGGATTTAAACGTATTGAAATTCGTGAGAACGAAATCGAGCCTATTAAACGGGAATATTAAGACAGTGGTGGTCAATGGATATTTGTATTTTAAGTTATTTCAATGTATAGTCGGACAGTATTTTCGAACAGTTTTCATAACCGATGTATTGATAAAATTAACGCCGGGGAAACCGACTAGATACATAAATCTTGTGAGCCAATTCGGTGCATAACATAGTGGATCGCATGAATTCGATGGCTCTGGCATTGGCGACCTAACCTAACCTCACTTTTAATCTCAACCTAAAGAACCGGTTTCGCCTAATCACGTCGAATGTTGATAAGAATTTTAAAAACAAAATAAAAGATAACTTTTCTAACCTACGTTTTATACCGGCTACAGCCGGAATGCAATGAAAAGCAAAAACGTCTCTTGTCTCGTGTGTTTTGATTGGGGCGAGATTTCCCGGAAAAAAAGTGGATTTACACGGGCGGACAGAAGAAAAAAATAAAAAAAAAAATAAAAAAATAAAATACGCATCGTTTGATAATGCCGTATCCGCCGGGAATCTGAAACCAACGCGGGGAAGCGCCGGGAACGGTAAACGGACGCGGGACCTAGCGGCGTGCGCCGTTTCGAGACGTTTTCCACGAGAACGCGTCGAACACGATAATCGTCGTGCGCGTCGCGTCCGCGTGATCAACCGGCGGATCTACGTCCCGTGACCCGTCCGATCGCCACCCCGGGGGTACGACGGGCGCCTGAAGTCGTTCCAGAGGTCCGTACGCCGTACGCCGCGCCGGGAACCGCCGGGAAGACCGGCGGCCCGAGTGGCCGATAAATCGTCCGGGCGATACACACGCGCACGCACGCACGCACGCACACGCAGTATAATATTAATAATAAATTCGTCTGCGCGCGGCACGTTGTGCGTACGTTGTGTCGTAGCTGCCGTAAGACTCGCGGGAATAACAATAACGGCGCGCGGGGCGCCCCGCGGCCGATACGCCGTGGACGACGAGCGCCCGTCCGTCATTCCGTATCTCCGTGTCGCGTAAAAACAACACGTCCAGCGCACTGCGGACGGGCCCCGAAATCCGGCGCACGGTTGGGTTAGGTCGGGTCGCGTTAGGCTGTTTACCGCGACGCGGGCGTCCGCCGAAGAAAAGCAATGTTCGAAAACTCGACCACCTCTCCGGAGGGTCTAAACCGTACGGGGGTGTTTTAGGCGTTTTCGGTTCGTCTAATCGTTTGTTTCTGTTTATTTCTGTTTATTCGCGGGGTACCGAGAGGAGAGAAGCGATATACGAATGAAGAAAAAAAAAAAAAAAAAAAAAAAAAAAAAAAATTTG